CAGTTGGCTGCAGCTATAAGGATAGTCTGTGGTGAAGCAAACTAGACCACACTGTGTAGAAAAACCGGTGACCTTAGTGTTAATAGCACTGCGGTAAGAAAAATCCAGGGGCTATTTACAAAAACAAATCAATAAGTAGATTTGCTCATTTATAATTTATCCATTGAAATAGTAAGCAAAAGGCAGAGATTCTTTGAGATACTCATAAAAGTTCATTCATTCACATACTCACCCGTGCATTTCTGCATTCGTTCTACCAGTTTTTATGAATACCTTCTTTGTGTCAAAGATAGAGAAGCAGCCTTATAGTTTGGCAAGGAGGTAAACAAAACAATTTCAATAGTCTTACTTAAGCTTATTCGATTTAAACCAAGTAAAATCTCTGTAACTTGTGCATCAAACCCAAAATTTAATAAACGAATCAATCTTCAAGGATTTAACATAAACTCAAATGTCCTTCAAAGATCTATATTTAGCCTAATACTAACAGCACCACCACAGAACTGGTTAGCTGGTCTATAGAATTAACAATGGATTTAAGGAAAGGTAGCCTAAGAAATAGAAAAAGAAATAAATTCCCATGGGATAAGTGTCCCTTTTTTTTTTTTTTTCCCACCAAGAACTTGGCTTCTTGAATACAACCAGAGAAATTTAGAAACCACTTCTGTCTAGTGGGCAAATGCACAGGATGACAGCCTACTTGAAAGTGGGGGGGTGGGGGGACCCTTTAAGATGGGTCTAGGGTCAGACTATTTAAATATCTTTTACTTCACTGAGCTCTTTCTCCTTTGTAAAATGGAGATTATAATATACACTCCCTAGGACTCTTACGAGATAAGCACTCCATACAAGTAAGTTCTAACTGTCATTACGATGCCATCGTCAGCTCAGCATCACATCCTTGTTTCCTCATGTGAAGTCACTCTTTGTTTTTCTAAGTGCTGATGATGCAACAGTCTGTTTGTATCAACTTTCAAATCAATATGTCTCAGATGTCACTTCAACATAATTCAAGGTTTGATTTCTAGAATACGGAATTGTGTTTGAGGTACTATACTGAGGAGGATAAATCAAGTCCATTCCAGAGAACTCCAGAAAGCTCCAATAAAGCAGAGCTCGCATTTTTAGCTAGCCCTTGCTGACTTCAGGCTGCAGTGACTGTCAGAAGGTCTGCCTTAGGATCAAGTGAAACTAAGTCTCTACTTAAGTTCTACTATTTCTCCTTAACTTCTGTAGAACTTACAGAGCTGGTTAATCTAAGCCATCTTCTATATGACAGGTCTTCAAATATTAGAACGCAGCTGTTGTGTCCTAGCGAAGGCTTACTTTCTGTCCGAAATATTCCCAGTAACTTCAACTGTTCCTTACATGACGCCGTTTAGAGAAATGAGTGAGAATTCTCTTTGTTTCCCAGATATTTGTTCACTGTCTTGCAGCTTGTGGTGTTAAAAGGGCACTTTCTTTATACCTCGAGGGGTGGAAACTAAGATCTTGGGAGGGGCAGGAGGCAAGACACACCTCCCCCAGTGACTTGCAATTGCCCTGTTTTAGGGAGTCTAAATCCATGTCTCATAATTACTGTAAACCCAAGAATCTTGGGATCATTGTTATATTGTTCTTCTTTTACCAATAAGCTAAGCAGTAGAAGCCTAAAAAAACCTGATTAGGATGGATTGAATATTAATGTTCTGGTTTTAAATTGCCAGCAGACCTTTCATAAAACAACAGACATTTGATTCATTCTTAATCTACATGGATGAAAGTTTTTTGAAGGCAATTATCATTACAAGTACGGAACTTATCTCTGGCCCTAATTCACAACAGAGTAAAAATAACCACCTGGATTGCTAATACCACAGCTTCCTCATTAGGTTCCCCCAAACCAGTGTCTTCCTATTGCCATTTACTCTTCACAATACTTCCAGAAAAACAAAGCTGATTATGCTATATCCCTGCTTAAAACTCTCTCCTGGCTTCCTTAGTTGCTAAGATGATAAGATAACAATTCCTCAAACTGAGAAACAAAATTCTTGCACCACCTTCCCAAACATGCCTTTCTGGATCTCAGAAAGCTGTTATCCCATTATGCACGCTTCACCATGCTACAGGCTACAATCCTACCCACAGCCAGCTGTGTAACTGAGAGCTTTTAGTCCAGGCATCTTTACAGCTCGCTACTCTTAAGAGTTGAGTAGGCGGGGCCACCAAGACCCACCTACCACCATCTTCTCAGAACCTGTTCTCTCTCAATGCACTTCCCCTAAATCCTCTGAAAATCTCACCAAGTTTAAGACCTTGATCAAATGCTACTTTCTGTGAAGCCTTTCTCCATTTTCCTAGGAAGGAGACTTGACTCAGTCCTGTGTTCTGGTGGTCTTAGGTCCTATCTCTGTAAGAGCAGTTACCAATTTATAATGTAATTTTTATTATTTCTACACTTCTTTTAATCAATTACTTGATTATAAGCTCCTCTGGGGTACCAATTGAGGATTTCCGTCTTACTTTTGTGACTTTAGCACCCACTATTGTACCTGTCACATAATGATAATAAATAATGGTTTGTTGAATGATTAATTAAATAGAATGTTTACTCTGTTTTGGAAAAGAAAGCTGGGCAAAATAAGGTTCAGGAAAAAAATGAAAATGGAAGGAAAAGATGTTACGGTGGATTTGTCATGACTGTTCAGAAGAATTATAAGACTTTGCCAAGTTATAAAAGGTAATTATTTAGTAGACCCTCGCAATCTCTATTTTTAGATCTAAAGAGATGAAATTTTTATGGGCATGTTTGTTCAAGCAACTGCATTAGCTAATTATGATTCTTTGTTCACTTGAAACTATCAGATTTTAAAAAGTAAAACTGGTGCATTTCTTTATTTATTAACAATTATTGAACAGTTTTTTCTCAATCTAAATACTTCATATATCCAGTGTCCAATTTTTTTATTTTTGTAAGTTTCTATGTTAATCTGGCAAAGTAGTTGGGAAAATGTCTGCTTCTATTTAACTGCTGATCTATAATGAGAAAATACTTTTTTCTTTGATTGAGATTTAAAAGATACTGAAATCAACCTGACAGCCATATTCAGTATCTGTTTACAACTGCCTATTTTGGGGTTGTTATAATTCAAGGTACCACAAGTGTTTCCTAATTTAAATATTAACTATATGTGCAGTATCACTCAATATATCATTTATTGCAGCTGCTGGAAATCTTTTAGCATCCTACCACGTGGAATTAAACAAAATCTTCAACTGGTAAGAAATCTTGGCTAGCAACATGAATACTAGCCTCAGGTTGCTTTAAACTTTGTTGATCTCAGCTGCAGACACCTCGACATATAGCAGGAATGTTCTCTCCTCATCAGTTCTTTCCTTAAGGCTGTAATTTCCTTCTTGGATGAGGAGAATGGGTAAGGATTCAGTGTTTATAGCTCTTCAAAAATGAACTTTACTGGGCCGGCCGAGTGGCGCATTTGTTAAGAGTTGGCTTGGGATGCCAGTTCTGAGCAGCAAGGCCCCGGTTCGGATCCCACATTAGGGCCAGTGACACTGCACCCTCTACAGCTAAGATGGTGAACAACACCTTGATCTGGAGCTGGGCTGCTGTGAGTTGCTGGAGATGGCATAGGCTGCAGTGAAGCTGCAGTGGGCTGCCATAAGCTACTGTGAGCAGTCAGCAGCCGGCATGAGCTGCCAAGAGCCGCCGTGAGCGGCTGTCCAGTGACTGGCGACCGATCTGCCTCACCTGGGAAGAGCGCAATGATAACACCAACATGGACCAGTGAAGCAACGTCCTCCACAACTCGACTGAAGAACAAAAAAACAGCAACTTGTCAGTTCCCCTCCCCCAATTCCCCAATAAAATCTTTTTAAAATAGTGAACTTTACTAAGTGCTGATATTTTATAAATAACTGAACCTAAATAAACCTGGAGCTGAATAATAATTTTTTTACTCCTCTATATGGGAGGTGAGGGACTGGGTGCCTTTTGACCTACTCCAAGTTTGTTATTTATTCTAAAGTTGTAAGCCATGTGATTGAAAAACAAACCAAATTGGAATATTTCTTTTTAAAAAATCTGTTTGAGAGAATGGAGGACTCAATTTG